CAGGTCCGGAGGCGGCCACTGCTGCAGGCTGGGTGGGGGCCGCTGCTGCAGGTCCGGCGGCGGCTGCTGCTGCAGGCTCGGCGGTGACAGCTGCTGCAGAGGCGGTGACGGCAGCTGATGCAGGGTCGGCGGCGGCAGTTGAGGCAATCGCAGCGGCGGCAGCTGCAGCAGCGCCCCAAAAACCCTAAAACGGGTGGGGTAAGGGGGAGGAGTGCGCGGGATGGCGAGGGGGGAAGGCGCGCGACCCCCAGGGCGCCACCAGAACGGTCGGTGGGCGAGGGGGGAGCGTGCGCGACCCCCGAGGGCGCCGCGACGACCGGGCGGGGCACTCGCGGGCTCCTGAGGGCGTCGCGACGGTCGGGCGGGGCGTTTCGCGGGCTCCCCAGTGCATCGCGACGGACGGGGGGGGGTCCGCGGGCTCCTTAGGGCGTCGCGACGGACGGGCGGGGCGCTCGCGGGCTCCCCAGGGCGTCGCGACACTCGTTCGGGCGCGCGCGGGCAGCTAGCGGGTCGCACGCGTGAGAACACGGGCCGCGCGCGGGCGGCTAGCGGGTCGCGCGCGCTAAGAAGGAAGCTGGCCGCGCGTGGGTGGCTACAGGCCGTGCGCGCGGGTAGGAGAGGCGCACGAGGTCGCGAGGGCGCACGAGGGCGCGAGGGCGCACGAAGGCGCGCGGTAGGGATTGGCGCACGAGGGCGCGAAGGCGCACGAGGGCGCACGGTAGTAAGAGGCGCACGAGGGCGCGAGGGCGCACGAGGGCGCGCGGTAGTAAGAGGCGCACGAGGGCGCGAGGGCGCACGAGGCGCACGGTAGGTAGGTAGGTAGGTAGCGGTGGGCCCTAAGAACGGTCCTAGCGATGGACCTGCTCTGATACCATGTCAGAATCCCAGTCACTAACCACTGGGATAAAAGGGCTTGTTTATATAGCGGGTGAGTGCGCCCATAACCCCCAGGCCGACGTGCCTGTAACCCTTCCCTAGGATCATCGGGGATCCCCAGTGGACCTCTGACAGAGGAGCCTGCCCAAGAACCTGCTGAAGGAGCGGGACGAAGTACGGTCGCGGCCGCGCAGGGTCTCCAGAAGCAGAAGAGACTCCAGCGGCCGGTCCCTCAGTACCAGTAGGAGCTCCAGCGTCCGGGTCCACAGCACCAGCAGCAGCTCCACCGCCCGGGTCCTCAGCACCAGTAGCAGCTCCAACGTCCGGGTCCTCAGCACCAGCAGCAGCGCCAACGTCCGAGTCCTCAGCACCAGCAGCAGCTCCACCAGGCGGGTCCGCAGCACCAGCAGCAGCTCCAACGTCCGGGTCCTCAGCACCAGCAGCAGCGCCACCCCCAGGGTCCGCAGCACCAGGAGCACCACTCCGAAGACTGCAGCGCCGTGTGTACCACTCGCGGATCTGCTGAATGGGGGGGAGCTCCTAGGTAGGAGGGGAAGTACCGGGGACGAGCTCCAGCAGCACCTCTCCGGAGGCGGCAGTACTCGAGGTACCTCTCCTGCAGCTGCTGGGAGGAGAGGGCTCCTCCAGGTGTAGCACGCTCAGGCTCAGCACCCCCAGACTCAGCACCCCCAGACTCAGCACCTCCAGACTCCGCACCTCCAGGCTCAACACCCCCAGGCTCCGCACCCCCAGACTCAGCACTCCCAGGCTCAGCACCCCCAGACGCAGGCACCCCCAAGCTAAGCACCCCAGACGCAGCACCCCCAGGCTCAGCACCCCTAGCAGGACGAGAGTCAACAGCTACCTCGACAATCGACAGGCTCACCCGGGTCTACCTGGGACACACCTGAGGGAGCGGCACCCTGGAGGGGGCTGGTACCTCAGCACCTGGAGCGAGGAAGAGAGGCGGGGGGGGAGCGGGGCAGTGCGGTAGGGGAAGAGGCGGTGGGAAAGACCGGGGTGTAGCGGCGGAAGTCGTCAACAACAATCAGGAAGTACCTCTCCTGACCCTAACCACGGACGCGGGCTGGGCCCCACACGTCCGTGGAGCGTCTGCAAGGGAGCAGTCGTCGGGGGAAAGGAGGAGGAGTGAGGAGCGGCGCGCTGCCGTCCCTCAACACAGGGAATACAGGGAGGAGCAGGCGAGTCTGGAAGGGGAGGGAGCACCCTGGGAAGACCAGCAACAAGGTCCCGTTTGTGCATGGCCCGAAGGCGCTGCACAGACGGGTGACCAAGGCGGTGGTGCCAAAGGACAGTCTCATGCGCCAGAGAGCGACACGAGCAGGGGGCGGACAGCTGACCTGACGCAGACGCAGACGTAGACGCAGACGCAGCTACCTGAGGGGACTCAGTGGTCAGTGTGTACAGGTCCGACCCCGGCTCTCGAGTGAAAGTAGCCAGGTGGCGACCCGTCCGAGCACACGTGCAGTGTGTCACGCGCTCGTAGGCAGGGGTGAACTGGTGAACACCCCCGTCCTGGAGTGCACTACCTGCCACCAAGTTCGTAGAGAACGAGGGAGGTAGAGACCTGACAGCGTGCCGGACGGGACCGCCGGACAAGGAAGGACAGTGGAGGAGGTGGCAATGACCGGACCCCCAGAGGGGTCAGCAAGGGAGACCGCAACTGGCCGAGCGAGTGGCTCAAGGACAGTGCGGTCACGAAAGAAAGAGCGAGAAGCACCGGAGTCCAGTGTGAAGGTGTGCAGTGCTGCAGTCGACTCAGTACCAGGGGGCACAGACGCACTAGCACCTAGGGCAGCAGCCTCACCAGGACCTGTGGGAGCGGACGCACTAGCACCTAGAGCGGCAGCCGGACTGGCCTGAATGCCCGGGTCGGGCGGAACACGCAAGTACTGAGCACCCTCTCCACTAATAGACATCGCATACATGGCAGTGAGAATAGCATCAAAGTCTAGAGCCCAAATATCAACACCCCTCTTTTCCAGCTCAGCCCAGCGCGGCAGCTCAGTGGCAGTAGGAAACTGGGTGCGCCACGCGGTTTAAGGCGCGCGAAGCAGCGCTGCGTGGGGTGCGGCCTCCCACACTGCTGACTACCGCTGCGGTCACCTGTGCGAATAACGTACGTGCAGGTAACGCCACGCTGCGCATACCACTCACGGGCGGCCTGAAGCGTCGGGGCGGGCTGCTGACTCTGCCCTCCGCTAGTGCCTCCACGACCACCACCCCCACCGCCTCCGCCCCGGCCACCTCCACCCCTGCCGCCACCACGACCACCTCCGCCCCCGCTGCCGCCTCCGCCCCTGCCACCACTCCCGCCGCTGCTGTCTCCTCCCCCACTGCCGCCACTGGCCTCCTCAGCCGCGCCTCCACTCCCACCGCCTCCACCCCCACCTCCTCCGCCGCCACCCCCACCCCTGCCCCCCTTGTTCCTGCGGCGCCCGCTCGAAGCAGACGCGGTCCCGACCTTCTCAGCACCGAGGAGGTCGACAGCAGCAGCAGAGGCGACAGAGGGGAGGAGGGGGGAAGGGGAACACCCCTCAAAGAACGGGGTGCGGGGGTCGCCACGAGAGGTGCCTACAGCGACGATGCTCGCCTCAGCTGCAAGCAGTTCCTTCTCGAGGAGGGCAACAGTGAGCTCAGTGGGGGAGCGAGAGAGGAAGTGGTCCCTGACTGCGCGCAGAGAGTCAGGGAGGCGGGTGACGATGTGGTAGAGAGTGATCCAGAGCGGGGGGGGTTGCTAGTGAGAAACTCGGCAGGCATAGCAGCGCGAAAGCGGGCCTCACTAGTCTTAAGGTGGGTGATGAGGTCTGCGACAGTGTGAAAGGAGGCTAGGTCGGGGAACAGGTAGGGGAGAGTGAGGCGGCCTAGCGTGGCAGAAGCGGGTGAGGAGTAGCGGGCAACTACAGCTGTGTAGAGGTCCTTAGCAGTCTTGCACTGGCCGAAGTGCTCGCGCTCGTCTAGCGGCAGGGAGTTGCGAATAGCAAAGCGAGCGTGCGCATCACGGGTCTGCCACTGGGAACGCAGAGTGCTGTCAGCAGACGAGTCAGGGGCAGTGGCATGGCCTAGGGCGTGGTCGTACAGTGAGATATCTTCCTTGGCAGTGAGCTGTAAGAACAGGTGCAGGTCATCTAGCCAGGTTTCGAACTTCACCGGACGGCCCTCGGCATCGAAAGCTAGAACGGGAGGACTAGCCATAGCGACAGTGGCAGCAGTGTGCGCTGGAGGTAGAAAATAAGCAACAGTGAGAGCGAGTGCCTCGCGGGCGGCGGCTGCAGAAGCGCACGGGCGGCAGCGGCGCACGGGGACACGCGGTGCACGGGCAGCGGCGGCGCACGGGCAGCGGCAGTGAGGGGCAGCGACGACGCACGGGCAGCGGCGGCGCACAGGCAGCGGCGGCGCTCGGGAGGCAGCGGTGCGCAAGCAGCAGCGGAGGCAGCGGCGTACTAGCGGTTGCGGGCAGCGGGGCGTGCGCGAGCAGGCGACGGGCGGCTGCGGGGCGTGTGCGAGCAGGCGACGGGCGGCGGCAGGGCGTGCGCGAGCGGCTGCAGGCAACGGGCGTGCGGCACGCGAGTGGCGCTGGCGGTGCGCGGGCCGGCAGCGGGCAGCACGCAGGCCGCGCGGGTGAAGTGCGGCTGCGTGGGTCGGTAGCGGGCGGTGCGCGGGCCGACGAGGCCGCTAAGGGGCGAGCGGCGGGGTCGTTAGAGGCACTAAGGGGCGGCGCGACGGGGCCGTGAGGGGCCTCTAGGTCAAATGCGACGGGGCCGCGGGGCCGAAAAAAAAAAAAATAATGAAGCGCTCGAGGGCGCTACGGGGGAGGCGCTAAGAACGCGCTCCGGTAGTAGGTAGGTAGGTAGGTGGGCCCGAAGGACGGTCCTAGCGAAGGACCTGCTCTGAAACCATGTCGAAATAACAGACTGGAATGACTGTACTAACAGAAGGTTGGATACAAATAGGAAACCCTAATCCAGTGTACCCCCTAAGGTGTAACCCACTACAGCCTACAATCATATAAACATATAATGTTTGACAAGCTGCTGTGGTGAGAGAGGCTCTGGCCGACGAGACCGCTGTGGCGAGGCACCTGTAGGACCTCCATACCAAACTCAGTACCCTATGGGCTCGACACTCCTAGGCTCAGCACACCTAGGCTCCGCACTCCAAGGCTCAGCACCCCCAGGCTCCGCACTCTCAGGCTCAGCACCCCCAGGCTCCGCACCCTCAGGCTCAGCACCCCCAGGCTCCGCACCCTCAGGCTCAGCACCCCCAGACTCAGCACCTCTAGGAACACCACCCCCAAGAGCACCAGAGTCGACAGCAACCGGCTGCAGAGGCGGCGAAGACGGTTGAGGTAGAAAACCCGGAGGGGTCTCCAAGCGTGGTGAGTGGCCAGGGGCCGCCGCGTCGTCAGCAGCAACATCACCCCCCCTCAGCTGGACCAGAGGTGTCGGAAGTGACCTTGAAAGGCTCAGCCAAGGGGAGTGGGTCTACCTGAGACACACCTGAAAGAGCAGGACCTTGAAGGGGAGGGGGTCTACCGGAGGGGGACCAGGAGCGAGGAAGAGCTACGGGGGGGGGGGGAGAGGGGTAGTGCGATAAGGGAAGAGACGGCTAAAGGGAACCGACTCGTCAAACGTGACGTCCTGAGAGGACAGGACACGGCGCATGGTGGGGTGGTAAAATTGCCAGCCAGGCGCGTCAGTGGGAAAGCCAAGGAAGACATAGGGAATGGCGCGGGAGTAGAGCTTGTCTGCGGAGGTATCGCGGATAAAGGCACGAGAGCCCCAGACCCGGAAAACCGGCACATCGCCAACCTCCCCCATCCAACGCAGTGTAGGCGAGGTCTCCGGCAAGGAGACACGGGGCCAGAGGTTGAGCTGATGTGCAACGTACCAGACCGTAAACGGCCACAGAAATTGGGGAGCAGCTGCATGGATCATGGAGGTATGAGCCACCTCCATGACTAAGCCAATGCGGCGCTCAGCAATCCCATTCTGCTGCGGGGAGGCCGGAAGCGTGAACGACTTGAGAAAACCCTCTCCACGACAAAAGTCCCACAGGAGGTCGGAGGAGAACTCACCACCCCTGTCAGAGTGCAGACGCAGGACAGGAAGGTCCTGACGGAACTGCTCGCGAAGCTGGAGACGAACAGCGTGGATCCAAGGGATAAAGACATAAGGGACCTCCCCCTTACTGCGCATGGGGAAGACCGTGGTGTATCGACAGTAGTCATCAACAACCAGCAGGAAGTATCGCTCGCGGTCATGTCCACGGACGCGGACGGGGCCCCACACGTCCATATGGAGAGTCTGCAGGGGAGCAGTCGTCGGGGGAAACGAGGAGGAGTGAGGAGCGGCGCGCTGCCGCCCCTCGACGCAAGGAAGGCAGAACAGGGCAGGCGAGGACAGGAGGGGAGGCAGAGACCTGGGAAGACCAGAGACAAGGAAGCGAGATTGCTTGCCACGGAGGCGTGGCAGGGAGGGGTGACCAAGGCGGTGATGCGAAAGGAGAGTCTGGTGCGTGCGGAGGCGACACGAACTGGGGGCTGCTACCTGACCTAACGCGGACACCTGACCTGACACAGCCACCGGAGTAGGCTCAGTAGTCAGTGTGTACAAAGTCGACCCAGGCCGACGTGTGAACGTGGCCAGGTGACGGCCCGTCCGTGTACACGTGCAAATCGCCACACGATGACCCCCAGAAGTGCTGGTAGTGACCATCGCATCCTGGAGGGCAGCGGTACTCACCAAGTTCGTAGAGAACGAGGGGAGGTGAAGACCTGACAGTGAGCCAGACGGAACCGCCGGACACGGGAGAACAGTGGAGGAGCGTGCAAGAACTGGCCCCCTGAGGGATCAGCCAGAGAGACTGTGACTGTGGTACTGTCGCGAAAGAAACAGCGCGAAGCACCTGAGTCAAGCATGAAGGTGTGCAAGGCCTTAGCAGGCGCAGTACCAGAGAGAGCAGATGCACTAGCACCTAGAGCAGCAGCCTCTATACCGGCCTGTGTCAAGCGGCACATCAGCTAATAGTCACCCTCAACACTGACAGTTAAAGTATACATGGCAGCAAAGATAGCATCATAGTCAAGAGCAAAGATATCGACATCGTTCCTAAGCAGCTCTAACCAGCGGGGGAGCTCAGCCTCGTCGCCAAACTCTGCGCGCCAGGCGTCGCCAAGATGGGAGAAGCAGCGGTACTGTGTATGACCAACCTTCTCGCATGGCTGACCAGCCTGATCACTTGTGAGAATGACGTACGGGTAGCGAACACTACCCCCAGGCGCCCCATGCTGAGCAAAGCACTCACGAAGTTGCTGGGGCGTAAGGGTCTTGCGCAGAGGCTGCTATTGCCTCTAGCCACCGCCAGAATCTCCCCTCTGAACGGCTCCACCACGACCGTCACCACTGTTGCCGCCACCACTCCCACTGCCGCCACCACCGCCGCCACCACCACCACCACCACCGCCGTCACCGACGCCTCCACTCCCACCACCACTCCCACCGCCACCACCGCCGCCACCGACGCCTCCACTCCCACCACCACTCCACCGCCACCACCGCCACCACCACCTCCACCACCGCCTCCACCGCTGCCACCTCCACCACTCTTGCCTCCCTTGCCCTTGCCGTTGCGGCGCCTCCCACTAGGAGCAGACGCAGCCCCGACCTCCTCAGCACGAAGGAAGTCAACAGCAGCAGCAGAAGCGACAGAGGGGGCAAGGGGGGAGGGGGAACACCCCTCAAAGAAGGGAGTGCGAGGAGTGCCACGAGAAGCACCTACAGCGACTATGCTAGTCTCAGCTGCAAGGAGGTGCTTCTCGAGCAGGTCGACAGTGAGGTCTGTGGGGTCAAGGGCGAGAAAGAAGGAGGTCCCTGACTGCGTGAAGAGAGTCAGGAATGCGGGTGACGAGGAAGTAAGGAGTGATGTACGTGGGGAAAGGGTTCTTGTCTAGAAACTCAGTTTTCAGCGCAGCCCGGTAGAGAGTGTCGCTAGTGCGAAGGTGGGTGATGAGGTCGGCGACTATGGGAAAGGCTGACAGCTCGGGAAAAAGGTAGGGCACTATAAGTCGGCCGAGAGCAGCAATGGCAGGGGAGGAGTAACGAGCAACTACAGCGTCGAACAGTGTTTTAGCTGTCTTGTGCTGGCCAAAGTGCGCCCGTTCGGCTAACGGCACGTGGTTGCGAATGCCGAGGCGAGCAGTAGCGTTACGAGTAAGCCACTTGTTAGAATCAAGCAGCAGGAATGAATGAACTAATAGGATGCAGGAGTACAAGTAGTAAACCCTAATTGGGTTGTACCCCATATGGGCTACCCCACTACAGCCTAGACAATATGCAGCACATATAGTTTGACACACCCCCATAGGCAAAGTGGGGGAGAAAAAGGGGTCACACGACCAGTCAAGAGAAGCAAAACAAGCTCAGGGTGGATCACAACGTCACCACGCATTCCGAGCACAAGCAAAGGGCCACAGGGCCAGTTCACATGCAGAGATATATATGCAGCAATAACAGTACAGTGATGGCTACCTAGCAAGAGCCAGCATGCATATATATATATATATATATATATATACATATAGATCACAGTACAAGCAGAGACTACAGCAAGTGTGGATCGTAGGCACAAGGCCCAACAGAGTACAAAAGCGCTGATGATCACCAGACGGAAGTGCCTTGGTGAATATATCAGCAGTGTTGGCCCGAGTGGCCACGTGACGAAGACGAAGCTGGCCTCGCTGCTGCAACTCTCGAGCCAGGAAGTAACGCAGAGCAATGTGCTTCGTTCTGTGCTCCAGTCTGTGCTCCTCACATAAGGCAATGGCGGCCTTGTTGTCGACGTACAGCACTGGAGGAGAACGAGGCTGCTCTCCCAAGTCAGTCAGCAGGTAGGTGAGCCAGCGTAACTCCTGTGCAGCCATGGCTGTGGCGTAGATCTCAGCCTCACAACTGGAGCCGAGAACTGAAGACGAGCGTGTAGAACGCCACGAAACTGAACCAGAGCCAAGGCTGAAGGTGTAACCCTGTGACGACCGCTGAGTAGCCAGGTCGTCAACCCAAGAAGCGTCTGAGTGTCCAGTGAGGACAACTGGGCTCGTCCCTCCAAGCACTAGCCCCATGCCTGATGTGCTGCACAAGTAGCGCAGTACCCTCTTAGCAGCAGCCATGTGCTCAGGTCGGTGCCGACCAAGAGCCACGTAGCGAGCCAGAAGACCAAGAGGGTACGCGAGGTCAGGTCGAGTGCAAGTCATCAGGTACATGAGGCAGCCAACTAGCTCTGGGTAAGGACCACTCGGCTCTACGGACTCGTCCGAAGGTGGAGCTGAGAGCGTGTGACCTGTAGCCAGAGGAGTGGCCTGTGCTGAAGACCAGGTGAAGCCGAAGCGCTGAAGGACCTGCTGCACCATGTGTGACTGAGTCAAGGTGATGGTGCGGCGTGCTCTGTCCCGGGTGATCTGCAAGCCAAGGTAACTGCGCAGCTCACCCAAGTCTGTGCACGTGTGTCTCTTCTGCAGCTCCGACTTCACGTGGGCGAGAGCCTCAGTGTCAGCAGTGGCAAAGACCAAGTCGTCGACGTACACGAGGATGTAGAACGGCGGCAGAGAAGTGTCGGTGCGCAGAAACAGCGACGGGTCAGCAGTAGAAGGCGCAAACCCAAGAGCCGCAAGCGTAGTCCTCAGTGTGTCGTGCCACTCACGTGGCGCCTGGCGGAGACCGTAGACCGGCCGCCGGAGGCTCCACTGGGTGCCAGGAGGGAACGACCCAGTGAAGCCCGGGGGGCGGCGCAGCCAGATCTCCTCGTGCAGGCTGCCCTGTAAGAAAGCTGTGCTGAAGTCAAGAGAGTGAAGCTCGTAGTCACGGTGAGCAGCAACATGCAGCAGCACCCAAAGAGTGGTCATCTTCGGGGTGGGGGAGAAGGTCTGGAAGAAGTCAACTCCCTCTCGCTGACTGAAGCCTCGAGCCACGTAACGCGCCTTGAAGACAGGCGGAGAACCCGGCGGCCGCTTCACCCTGAAAATCCACATGCCACTGACGATGTTCGCCCCAGGTGGGGGAACCTCGTCGACATAGGTGCCTGTGGACTTCCAGGAAGCCATCTCTGCGTCTATGGCTGCCTGCCACTGAGAGGAGTAGGGACCCTCTATCGCCTCTGCGTAAGAGCGCGGAGTCGGGATGTCTGGTGCATCCGGGTCTCCCTCAGGGGCAAGTAGCGAGGACACAAGATGAGGTAAAGCAGCAGCAAGACACTGGAACTCCTCCTGCCTGTCCTCAAGGACGTCCGTGCTAAGAGCACACTCACCCCCGACGGACGGAGGACAGACAGACTCAGACTCAGTAACAAGACTGGCAGTGAAGTCTAGACGACAGGCAGCAGCAAAGTCAACAAGCTCAGCGACAAGAGCAGACGCAGCAGCAGACTCAAACGACGGGTCAGTGACAATAGTGGCTAGGAGACGCGTGACAGTAGGGTGCTCAGCACGAAACCAGTCAGACTCAGGGTCCGGAACGTCAGGCAACGAGGACGCAGGAGGAGACGGCAGAGGAACAGGCTGCGGAGCAGAGGAAGGACGACGGACTACGAGGTGTGCGCTGGGGACAGCCGGCTGACGCGAACGAGGAACACGACGACCGGTACGACTAGGACGAACAGGCGAAACAGGACGCGACGCAGGCTCACGACGCTCAGCAGGACTACCAGTCTGCACAGTGTAAGGAGAAGGAGCAGGCAGCGGTGAGCCGGGCTGTAACGGAAGACCAGTGGACGACGGGAGAGTAAGAACCTGACGAAGAACAGAGTCAGACGGCGGCAGAGACGACGGAGACGGCGGAGCAAAGAACAGTCGTGTCGGCGCAGCTGCACCAGGAGCGGCAGCTCCAGCAGCTCCAGTGCCTCCAGCAGCTCCAGTACCTCCAGCAGCTCCAGAAGCTCCAGTCCCAGAGCCGACACCCCCAGCCCCAGGGTCTCCAACCTCTGTGTCTCCAGCAGCAGCACCCCCAGAACCAGCACCTCCAGTCCCAGTGTCTCCAGCAGCAGCACCCCCAGAACCAGCACCTCCAGTCCCAGGGTCTCCACCCTCTGTGTCTCCAGCAGCAGCACCCCCAGAACCAGCACCTCCAGGCCCAGGGTCTCCAGCCTCAGTGTCTCCAGTAGCAGCACCCCCAGAGCCAGCACCTCCAGTCCCAGGGTCTCCAGCCTCAGTGTCTCCAGTACGAGCACCTCCAGAACCAGCGACTCCAGCACCTCCAGTAGACAAAGGTCCAGCACCACTCCTAGCTCCAGCAGCGCGACGCTGACGGCGACCGTACCAGTCCTGCAGCTGCTGTGGGGTGAGAGGCACACGTGGACGAAGGCAGCTACTCCAAGGAGACCGCGCAACAGCAGACTCAGAACCCTCAGCGCCCGCACCCCCAACGGCTCCAGAACCTCCGGTGTCAGTACCCTCAGCACCTGCACCTCCAGCGGCTCCAGAACCTCCAGCGCCAGCACCCTCAGTAGCTCCAGAACCTCCAGCGTCAGTACCGCCAAGCTCAGCACCCCCAGACCCCTCACACTCAGGCTCAGCACCACCAGGCTCCGCACCCCCAGGCTCAGCACCCCTAGAAGTAGCACCCCGAGAAGGACCACCCTCAGTAGGACCTGAGTCACCAGTGACCTCAACCGGCGCAGTCAAGGGAGGAGGGTCTACCTGAGAAACACCTGAAGGAGCAGGACCAGGAGTGGGGAGGGGGTCTACCTGGGGAGCACCTGGAGCGAGGAAGAGCGGCGGGGGGGGGAGCGGGGCAGTGCGGTAGGGGAAGAGACGGTAAAAGGGAACCGACTCGTCGAACGTGACGTCCTGAGACGCAAAGACACGGCGCGAGGTGGGATGGTAAAACTGCCAACCAGGCGCGTCAGGGACAAAGCCAAGGAAGACACAGGGAACAGCGCGGGCGGAGAGCTTGTCCGCGGTGGTATCGCGGACAAAGGCACGAGCACCCCAGACCCGGAAACGCGACGCATCACCAACCTTCCCCATCCACAGCAGTGTGGGCGAGGTCTCCGGCAAGGAGACACGGGGCCAGAGGTTGAGCTGATGCGCGGCGTACCGGACCGCAAACGGCCACAGGAAATGGGGGGCAGCCGCATGGATCATGGAGGTACGAGCGACCTCCATGACTAAGCCAATGCGACGCTCAGCAACCCCATTCTGCTGTGGAGAGGCCGGAAGCGTGAACGACTGGGTGATGCCGTGCTCCGCACAGTAGGCTGCCAAGAGGTCAGAGGAGAACTCACCACCTCTGTCAGAGTGCAGACGCAGGACAGGAAAATCCCGCCGGAACCGCTCGCGGAGCTGGAGACGAACAGCGCGGATCCAAGGGATCAAAACATCAGGGACGTCCCCCTTGCTCTGCAAGGGGAAGACCGTGGTGTAATGCGTGTAGTCGTCGACGACCAGCAGGAAGTACCGCTCGCGGCCCTGTCCCTGGACGCGGGCTGGGCCCCACACGTCCAGGTGGAGCGTCTGCAGGGGAGCCTCTGTGGGAGGAAACGAGGAGGAGTGAGGAGCGGCGCGCTGCCGCCCCTCGATGCAAGGAATGCAGGGCGGCGCAGGCGAGGGAGGGAGGGCAGGCAGAGACCTGGGAAGACCAGAGACCAGGGAGCGAGAGTGCATGCGACGCAGGCGAGGCAAGGAGGGGTGACCAAGACGGTGGTGCCACAGGAGAGTGTCGTGCGACAAAGCGCGACACTCGCAGGGGGCCGCCAGCTGACCAGACGTAGACGCAGACGCAGCTACCTGAGGGGACTCAGTGGTCAGTGTGTACAGACTCGAGCCAGGTGCACGGGTGAACGTGGCCAAGTGCCGGCCCGTCCTAGCACACGTACAGTGAGTCACTCGCTGACTCGCAGGAGTGAACTGGTCAACCTCCCGATCCTGGAGGTCAGCTCCACTCACCAAGTTCGTAGAGAACGAGGGGAGGTAAAGACCTGACAGCGAGCCGGACGGGACGGCCGGACACGGCAGAACCGTGGAGTAGTGGGCAAGGACTGGACCCCCGGAGGGGTCCGCCAGGGAGACTGGAACTGGCCGACGAAGCGGCGTGAGTGTGGTGCAGTCGCGAAAGAAGGAGCGAGAAGCTCCTGAGTCAAGGGTGAAGGTGTGCGAGACCGTAGTTGGCGCAGTACCAGAGAGAGCAGACTCACCAGCACCTGAAGCCACGGCCTCACCAGTACCTAGAGCAGTAGACGTACTAGCACCGAGAGCAGCAGCCTCACCAGCACCTAGAGCAGGAGACGCACTAGCACCTAGAGCAGCAGCCTCACCAGGGTCAGGCGGTACGCACAGAGAACAGGCACGATCAGCACTAGTAGGCAATGCATACATGGCAGTGAGAATAGCATCATAGTCACGCGCAAAGATATCTACCCTCTGTCCATGCAGCTCCAGCCAGGTGGGGAGCTCAGCCTCGTCGCCAAACACTGTGCGCCAGTCGTCGCTCAGACGAGCGAAGCAGCGGGACTGTGTGTGACCAAGCGTCCCACAAGGCTGACCAGTCCTAGCACCTGTGCGAATGACGTACGAGCAGCGAACTGTACGTGTAGACCTGCTACACTGAGCGTACCACTCCTGGAGCTGCCGGGGCGTAAGTGTCTCACGTGGACGCCCCTGCAGCTGTAGCTGGCCACTGCCAGACGCTCCCAACTGACCAGCTCCAGGGCGACAGCTACGACGGCTACTGCGACAACCCCAGCTAGTATACCACTCACTAAGCTGCTGGGGCGTCAGAGGCTCGCGTGAACGTCGCTGGAGCTGCATCTGGCCACCTGCCAGTAGCAGTAGCAGCAGCAGTAGCGCGGGCAAGGCAGGCGCGGCAGGCAGGCAGGCAAGCAGGCAGGCAGGTAGGCAGGCAGGCCGGCAGGCAGGCAGGCAGCCAGGCAGGCAGGCAGGCAGGCAGACAGGCAGGCAGGCAGGCAGGCAAGCAGACAGACAGGCAGGCCGGCAGGCAGGCAGGCAGGCCGGCAGGCAGGCAGGCAGTCGCGCAGGCAGGCAGGCCGGCAGGCAGGCAGGCAGCCAGGCCGGCAGGCAGGCAGGCAGACAGGCAGGCCGTCAGGCAGGCAGGCAGGTGCTCACCAGGCGAGCAGGGCCGGCGCTCGACGGGCGGCGGCCGAGTAGGCGCACGACAGCGGCGGCGTCGGGGCCGCAAAACCGGCTGCAGAGCAGGGCCGAAGCAGCTGCAGGGCGGGGCCGCTTCAGCGGCAGTAGCAGGGTGGGGCCGCGTCAGCGGCAGGTCGGGGCCGTGGCAGCTGCAGAGCGGGGCCGCATCAGCGGCAGGTCGGGGCCGTGGTAGCTGCAGGGCGGGGCCGCATCAGCGGCAGGTCGTGGCCGAGGCAGAGGGCCGCGCGCGGCTCGGCGCGGGCTGCGCTGACAGCGCGTGGAGCTGCTGCAGGCCGCGCGCGGCCGCGCTAGGCAGTAGCGGGCCGCGCGCGGCTCGGCGCGGGCTGTTGCGGGCCGCGCGCGGGCCGCGCGAGGCAGTAGCAGGCCGCGCGCGGCTCGGCGCGGGCTGCTGCGGGCCGCGCGCGGGCCTCGCGAGGCCGTAGCAGGCCGCGCGCGGCTCGACGCGGGCTGCGCGCGGCAGCTGCGGGCTGCGCGCGGCTGCAGCGGGCTGTGCGCGGCTCGGTGCGGGCTGCGCGCGGCTGCAGCGGGCTGTGCGCGGCTCGGCGCGGGCTGCGTGGGCTCTGTGCGGGCTGCGCGCGGCTGCAGCGGGCTGCGCGCGGCTCGGCGCGGGCTGCGCGGGCTCTGTGCGGGCTGCGCGCGGCTGCAGCAGGCTGCGCGGGCCTTACGGGCCTCTAGGGGCGGCGCGTGGGCCTTACGGGCCTCTAGGGGCAGCGCGCTGGCCTAGGGCAGTAGGAGGCAGCGCTAGGGCTGCTGGACGGCGCACATAGTGCAGCACGTCACAAGGCAAGGCAAGGCAAGGCAGGCAGGTACGTGGGGTAGCGCGGTAACCGCAGCGGTAGGTGGGCCCGAAAAAAAACGGTCCTACGGACCTTAGTGCTCTGAAACCATGTTAGAATCTAGCAGCAGGAATGAATGAACTAACAGGATGCAGGAGTACAAGTAGTAAACCCTAATTGGGTTGTACCCCATATGGGCTACCCCACTACAGCCTAGACAATATGCAGCACATATAGTTTGACACCACTGTGAGCGAGTCACACTGTCAGCTGTATCAGGAGGAGCGAGAGAGGTCCTAGACGTGTGGTCAAACAGGGAGACGTCGTCCCTAGGCTCGCTTCGTTTTTCCAGCAGTAAGTCATCTAGCCAGGTCTCAAACTGGATCGGATGGCCCTTGAAATCGAAGGTGAGAATACTAAGAGAAGCCATAGCGGGCAGAGCAGGGTGGCGTGTGACCAGCAGGGCAGCACGCAGGCAAGGCAGAGCGGCGTGCAGGCAGCAGGACGGCGGGACGGGCAGGGCGGCGCGCGGGCACTAGGGAAGCGCGCAGGGCAGGGCGGGGCGGCGCACGGCCAGGGAAGGGTGGCGCACGGCCAGTGCAGGGCGGCGCATAGCAGGACAGGGCGGCGCGCTGTCACAGGGGCGACGCGACAGGCCGGGCAGGGCGACACGCGGGCACTAGGGTGATGCGACGGGCAGGGGAGGGCGGGCGTGGCCAGCAGGGCGACGCGACGGGCAGGGCAGGGCATCGCGCGGCCAGCAGGGCGACGGGCAGGGAGGGCGGCGCGGCAGCGCGACGGTCAGGGTAGGGCGCTACGGACAGGGTAACGCGCTACGGACAGGGAACTATTCGGTGGGCCCTAAAAGAAAAACAGTCCTGGAACAGGACCTGCTATGAAATTATGTCAGAATACTGAACGAGAATGGATGCATTGAGATCAAACCTGTGTACAAGTACTAACCCTAATTGAGTTGTACGTCTTATGGGCTACCCCACTACAGCCTACACAACAAGGGCATTGTGATAATTTGACATTGTTTTCATTGACATATGTGTGGTCTATTGAATTCGGCCAAAAACCGTATTCGAGGATCTTACACGCCCCTAGCGCGCTTCGACGATGCCAAATACGGTACGTGGTACAAGCAGCTTCGCTTTCACAACATACAATTTCGAGGAACACTACTACTTGTGTTTATAAAGTTATAAGAATTTAAAGCACCCAGTGGGTGTTACGATTTTGACCCATACATGCACCCCCCTAGGGGGGACGGGGGAGAGGGGGTGGGGGTATTTATCCTATGGAGGGAATATGGTAAGTACTGACGGCACAATTACCACCATGAATTGGACCGTATGTCATTGGTTTCCCACCCCAGCAGTCATCGTAGGCGGTTGACCTACACCCGATCTCTAGGTGCATTGCTGCACGTGCTCATCCCCGAAGCGCAGCAGACATAAGAAATGCTTGCTTTCTTGCTGCCAGCCTTCGCTCCAAGTCCTCCATTGACTCCCTAACCACCATCGCCATTGCCCTGCTACCCCCTTCCTCCTCCCACCACACTGCCATCTCCTCTCGAGCCCTCTTCGCCTCCTCCCCCTCCTCTTCCTCCTCCCCATCCCGCTTTCTCTTTAACCCGGAAAGCACGTCTTCCAACCCCTCATCCCCACCAACACCCAACTCTTCATAAAGATCATCACCCAGCCCTTCCTGATCACCACCACTGCCCAGCACTGCACCACCCTCCTGACGCTTCTCACGCTCTGCCTCCCCTGCACGCACATCCGCCCCTACCCCTCCCTTGCCAGCCCCAAACACGCGCTGGTTTGACTGGTCGAGCATCTTGGCTGAAGTGGCTGTGACCTCGTGAATCCACGCACAGCTCTGCAGGATGCGTGTGCTGCACTGGGGAGCCACGTGTGCTATGTAGAGCTCTGCCATTGCCCTGCGCTCCTGCTCCCCTGCATTCCACTTGGCTTCCTCCAGCTGCACTTCCTTCCCACGCTCTGCCTGCTGCTGCTGCCGCTGCTGTGCCTGCTGTGGCTGTTGCAGCGCCTGCTGCACTTGCTGCTGCCGTGGCTGCTGCTGTAAGTGATGGGACTGGTCTGCCTGATTAGTATGCCTGTCTGCACCTGTGGCAGCACCACTGGCAGGACCACTTGCAGCAGCAGTGAGAGCAGGAGTGTCAGCATCATCATCTGTATCAGCATCCAATCCAACGGCATACCGTGTTGTCTGAGCAGCAGCACCAGTCCTTGCAGGTGACACAACCCTGGAAGGAGAGACAGCCCTGGACTTGTATCCTCCACGTGAAGACCCCTTGCCCTGCCTTCCCCTCTTCCCCCTCCCACTTCCCCTGCTCGACGTGCCCACCTGAACTTCACCATCGTCTGCAGCACCAGCAACAACAGTGTCAGCACGAGCCAACAACTCCCCATGGCTCCCTTCCTCCCATTCTTCCTCCTGCACGTCCTCCCGATCTGCACCCTTCCGCTTCCGCTTCCCCGTCCCCTTCACCCTACCTCTTCCACCCTCCCTGCTCAATGCGCCCACCTGCACTTCACCATCCTTTGCAGCAGCAGCCGCAGCGCCAGCACGAGCCAAAAACTCTCCACGGCTCCGTTCCTCTCCTTCATTCACCGAATCCCCTTCCCGTACGTCCTCCTGCTCTGCACCCTGCCGCTTCCACTCCCCTGTCCCCCTCCCCCTCCCCCTCCCTCTCCCCCTCCCGTTCCGTCCGCCCCTTTCTGCCCTCTCTCCAGCAACCTTGGCCTTGGCAATCTTCCTTCTCTCCACCCTTGTTGCAACCGTCACTGTATCCTCCTCCTCGTCGTCCTCCCCTCTCTTCTCCCCATCCTCCTCCCCCTCACCCCCCTCCTCATCCTCCAGAAAATCCCCATGCCAGTCAGATACAAGCACATCCGCACACTCATCCCTGCCCTCCCTCCCACTCAGCACCCCCTCCCTGCCTTCCTCCTCCGTGCCTGCGCCCCCCTCGCCGCCCTTCACTCGTGCACCAGAGCCGTCTGCTGCGGATGCCTTGGCAGGGCGGCTCTTGGGAGGCGCAGGTCCGCGGAGAGGCATGGACATGGGCACAAGGCCTGCATGGGGGGTGCAAGGACAGGGGGACGGCATTTGAGACATCTTACAAGAGGCATGGACATGGGCATGGGTAGCGCGGGGTAAAGACGGGTGGGAGGGGGAGGAGGGGGGGAGAGGGAGGGGGGAAAGAAGCGAAGGGAGGCTATGCATTTGGCAGGTGAATGATTGATTGAAAAGAAAAAAAGTAGTGATGGTAATAACGCTCTCCCTCATGCCTCTCCAGCAAAGGCGCCCATTTCTTCCTCTCTTCCCCATACCCTCTTCCCCCCCATAACCCCCTTTCCCCCTGCTTCTCCCCCTGCTCTCCCCACCTGCCACCATGTCCTCGGTCCTGTCTGTGGGCACAAGGCGCACCACCTTGCTCTCCCCCACTCCCTGCACCGCCTCCAACTGCCCATGGGCCAGGGGGAGGGGGAAGGGGAAGGGGAAGGGGAAGGGGAAGGGGAAGGGGAAGGGGAAGGGGAAGGGAACGGGGAGAGTGCACTAGGTTCAGTAACAGGATGGCGTGCATTGACCTGCGAGAAACGCCCTCAGAGCTCCCCAATCCAAGTGCTGTGAATCTCATATCTGCCATTGCAGTGAGCTGAATAGCCAGTGCAGGCAGCAATGGTCCGTTCGTTGCTCTGCACTGCTGCCCCTCACAGCCGTGCGTGCAATAGCCTGTACACACGAACAGCAGCAAAAGTGTTCGCTTGCGCAATCCGCACAGGCACGTCAAATTCTCTACCTGACATCGATGGTACACCTTCTAGGTGAACGTTGGGTATCTGGGCGGAAGGGAAGCTGTTCCACCACATGGGGCTATGATGGTGCGAACAACGACGGTGATGATGGTGATAGTGCGACGGAGATAGAAATGACCAGACAGGGGTGCATCACACAACCCACAGCTCGGTCACTTTGTTGGCACTAGGCACAGCACGTACCATGTAGCCCTGGCACATGAGCAGCAGGATGAGATGATTTGATTCTAGAGTTGACTCAAAAATAGGCTCGGTCACTTGGCAGTAAGCACAGCACACACGTACCATGTAGCCCTGGCACACGAGCAGCAGAATGAGATGCTGCACCGCCGCACGGGACAGCGGCTTCACTGCCACAGCTGGTGCGGGTGCGGGTGCGGGTGCGGGTGCTTGGGGGGCAACAGTGGCTGTGGCAGGAGTGGCAGGAGCAGGAGTGGCAGGAGCAGGAGTGGCAGGAGCAGGAGTGGCAGGAGCAGGAGTGGCAGGAGCAGGAGTGGCAGGAGCAGGAGTGGCAGGGGCGGCTGGAGTGGCAGGGGCGGCAACAGTGGGAGAAGAGAGAGTAACAGGTGTAGGGAGAGGGGTGTGTGGGAGGGGTTGTGCGGTTTCACTGAGGGCGGTGGAGGCAGTGGAAGCATGGGAGAAGGAATCAGCAGCGGCGGAAGATGGAGGGGTTGCAAGAACAGCGTCAGGCGAGAGGGTTTCCCCGACAGCACTGCTGCCTGCAGGCGCGGCTGTCACAGTGGCACCAGTGGTCACAGCAGCACCGGCAGAACCAGCAGCAACAGCAGCACCACTGGTATCAGCAGCACCAGCAGCAGCTGTGGTAACAGCAGCACTGCCGGTGGAAGCAGCAGCAGCGGTGACTGTGGCAGCAGCCGTGGAGTCAGAAGGCGTAGCAGCAGCAGCAGCAGCAGCAGCAGCAGCAGCAGCAGCAGCGGTGGTGACAGCAGGCGTTGCGGCGTCTTGACCTCGGGACAGTGCAGCCATTTGTGCTTGACTCATCAGTGCCGCCGCCTCTGCCCCACACATGCAGCCAAGGGAGAGTGGATGGGTGGAGAAGGCAGGGAGGGGTTGAGGGGGAAGGTAAATCAGGGGTGGGGAGAGATGGTTTAGAGGGTAGTGGGCTTGTGAGGGAGAAGGCTTGCAGGCAAGGCAGCATGAAAGTAGATGCAGGTGAGAAAGCACAGCGACAGGCCGGCAGAGGGTGAGGGGAGTTTGAAAGACACATGCAGAGAGACAGAACAAACGTGGCGCAGAAGGCCCCTCCCATACGAGCCTTGCATACAAAAGGAGATGCAGAGAGCGCATGGCAGGGAGTGAGTGCAGGGAACGGTAGCAGCAGCAACTGATGGTCTGAGTGCAGGCAGGCATGCAGTGATTGCATGCATGTAGATCAGCGTGTCAAGACAATGCACTGCAAGGATACCTCGCTGACTCCTCGCCCTCGTCTTGTGACTCCTCCCCCAGCCCTCTCCCACTATCTCCCTCCACCCCTCCCCACCCCCCCCCCCCTCCCCCCCCCCTTTCCCCCTCCCCAACCGCACCTGAGGCAGCGCCGGAGCGGAAGATAAACTCATTGGCAAGCTGGGGGGCAGTGAGGTGCGGTGAGGGACGGTGAGGGGCGGTGAGGGGCGTTGGAGATGATGGTTCAGAACTCACCCGCGGCAGCGCCGGAGCGGAAGAACTCATTGGCGAGCTGATGGGCGGTGAGGGGCGTGGGTGAGTCCGCCAGGATGCGCGCCAGTAGCATGGCGTACGCTGGAAGGCGGACGGGAGAGAGAGGGGGGCGAAGGGTGGGGTAAAGGAAGGAGGGGAGGTAAAACGAGGGAAGCGGGCGTGAGGACAATGAGTTGAAAGGGGAAAGGGAGTGACGGGGGACTGGTGTAGGGGGGGGGAGTTTGTTGCTTGAGTTGAAACTTGAAAGGAGTTGGGAGGAGTTCAGAGGCAGCAGACTAGTAGGATAGGAGATAGCAAGTGACACACCCAGCTGCTCCTGATGCAGAACGTAGTTCAATCACCATTGCCGGAATTCGAACATAACAGTGCCAGAACACGGAATACAAAATTCCAGAATACGGAACATTAAGTTCCAGAACACGGAGTACATCAGAGAGTTCCTGGGAAGCAGGTGAGAGCGAGTGAGAGCGAGTGAGAGCGAGTGAGAGCGAGTGAGAGCGAGTGAGAGCGAGTGAGGGAGAGAGATAAAGAGTGAGGGAGAGCGAGTGAGAGCGAGTGAGAGCGAGTGAGAGCGAGTGAGAGCGAGTGAGAGCGAGTGAGGGAGAGAGATAAAGAGTGAGGGAGAGCGAGTGAGAGCGAGTGAGAGCGAGTGAGAGCGAGTGAGAGCGAGTGAGAGCGAGTGAGAGCGAGTGAGAGCGAGTGAGAGCGAGTGAGAGCGAGTGAGAGCGAGTGAGAGCGAGTGAGAGCGAGTGAGAGCGAGTGAGAGCGAGTGAGAGCGAGTGAGAGCGAGTGAGAGCGAGTGAGAGCGAGTGAGAGCGAGTGAGAGCGAGTGAGAGCGAGTGAGGGAGAGAGATAAAGAGTGAGGAAGAGAGGGTGAGAGTGAGGGAGAGCGAGTGAGAGCGAGAGAGAGTGAGTGAGAGCGAGGGAGAGCGAGTGAGAGCGAGGGAGAGCGAGTGAGAGCTAGTGAGAGCGAGTGAGAGTGAGGGAGAGAGAGTGAGAGCGAGGGAGAGCGAGGGAGAGCGAGTGAGAGCGAGTGAGAGCGAGTGAGAGCGAGTGAGAGCGAGTGAGAGCGAGTGAGAGCGAGTGAGAGCGAGTGAGAGCGAGTGAGAGCGAGTGAGAGCGAGTGAGAGCGAGTGAGAGCGAGTGAGAGCGAGTGAGAGCGAGTGAGAGCGAGTGAGAGCGAGTGAGAGCGAGCGAGAGTGAGTCGGAGCAAGTGAGAGCGGGTGAGGTGAGAGCGAGTGAGAGCGAGTGAGAGCGAGTGAGAGCGAGTGAGAGCGAGTGAGAGCGAGTGAGGGAGAGCAGAGAGAAGAGAAGCAGAAGCTCTCTTTGCGAGTGCAAGAGCAGAGATCTTACGAGTAACGTCCTTTTCTTCAAAGCCCCTCGAGTTGCAGCAATTGTCACAGAAGCCTGCAGCGGATGGCCCATCCCATGGGGTCGTCCGTTACAAGATGCAACACATGGATGAATGGAGCAGAGCACGATTTCATGAACAGTCACGACAGGTTCAGCAATAATGGTTAACAAGATAGCGAGATGAGACCCGTACGCCACGGGTACACAGCGCCAACGGCAGAACGATGGGCTACTCAACAAGCAGAAAGTAGCAGGGCACACACAGAGAGACAACCGGATCAGAACTTCTTACAGTTGAGCAAATCATGCTTGATAAGAATTCTCTCCCACCGGTCCTGAATCCCCAACCCAACCCATTCCCCCAAACGAACTCAGCCCACTATCCCCCCAGCCCAGCCCATCTCCCCCCCAACCCAATCCAGCCCAACCCCCCAACCCAACCCAGCCCATCCCCCCAACCCATCTCCCAACAGGCCAGCATGCCTGTGTGCAGGCTAGCCCAGCACGTACGTACCCCCACAGGGTTGCTCATCCGGGGAGTCAAGGTCAAAGTGGCGCAGCAGCAGCTTGTGCCGACACACACTGCGATTCTGATGCCCCGCACACACACAAATGAGAGGCAGGCAGGGGGGGTGGAGGAGAAGAGTAGGGGGAGTAGGGAGAAACGGAAGGGTGGTGATGAGAAACGTGATCGCAGCGACAAGGCCTTGACGGGGACAGGAGGCCTTGACGGGGACAGGAGGCCTTGACGGGGACAGGAGGCCTTGACGGGGACAGGAGGCCTTGACGGGGACAGGAGGCCTTGACGGGGACAGGAGGCCTTGACGGGGACAGGAGGCCTTGACGGGGACAGGAGGCCTTGACGGGGACAGGAGGCCTTGACGGGGACAGGAGGCCTTGACGGGGACAGGAGGCCTTGACGGGGACAGGAGGCCTTGACGGGGACAGGAGGCCTTGACGGGGACAGGAGGCCTTGACGGGGACAGGAGGCCTTGACGGGGACAGGAGGCCTTGACGGGGACAGGAGGCCTTGACGGGGACAGGAGGCCTTGACGGGGACAGGAGGCCTTGACGGGGACAGGAGGCCTTGACGGGGACAGGAGGCCTTGACGGGGACAGGAGGCCTTGACGGGGACAGGAGGCCTTGACGGGGACAGGAGGCCTTGACGGGGACAGGAGGCCTTGACGGGGACAGGAGGCCTTGACGGGGACAGGAGGCCTTGACGGGGACAGGAGGCCTTGACGGGGACAGGAGGCCTTGACGGGGACAGGAGGCCTTGACGGGGACAGGAGGCCTTGACGGGGACAGGAGGCCTTGACGGGGACAGGAGGCCTTGACGGGGACAGGAGGCCTTGACGGGGACAGGAGGCCTTGACGGGGACAGGAGGCCTTGACGGGGACAGGAGGCCTTGACGGGGACAGGAGGCCTTGACGGGGACAGGAGGCCTTGACGGGGACAGGAGGCCTTGACGGGGACAGGAGGCCTTGACGGGGACAGGAGGCCTTGACGGGGACAGGAGGCCTTGACGGGGACAGGAGGCCTTGACGGGGACAGGAGGCCTTGACGGGGACAGGAGGCCTTGACGGGGACAGGAGGCCTTGACGGGGACAGGAGGCCTTGACGGGGACAGGAGGCCTTGACGGGGACAGGAGGCCTTGACGGGGACAGGAGGCCTTGACGGGGACAGGAGGCCTTGACGGGGACAGGAGGCCTTGACGGGGACAGGAGGCCTTGACGGGGACAGGAGGCCTTGACGGGGACAGGAGGCCTTGACGGGGACAGGAGGCCTTGACGGGGACAGGAGGCCTTGACGGGGACAGGAGGCCTTGACGGGGACAGGAGGCCTTGACGGGGACAGGAGGCCTTGACGGGGACAGGAGGCCTTGACGGGGACAGGAGGCCTTGACGGGGACAGGAGGCCTTGACGGGGACAGGAGGCCTTGACGGGGACAGGAGGCCTTGACGGGGACAGGAGGCCTTGACGGGGACAGGAGGCCTTGACGGGGACAGGAGGCCTTGACGGGGACAGGAGGCCTTGACGGGGACAGGAGGCCTTGACGGGGACAGGAGGCCTTGACGGGGACAGGAGGCCTTGACGGGGACAGGAGGCCTTGACGGGGACAGGAGGCCTTGACGGGGACAGGAGGCCTTGACGGGGACAGGAGGCCTTGACGGGGACAGGAGGCCTTGACGGGGACAGGAGGCCTTGACGGGGACAGGAGGCCTTGACGGGGACAGGAGGCCTTGACGGGGACAGGAGGCCTTGACGGGGACAGGAGGCCTTGACGGGGACAGGAGGCCTTGACGGGGACAGGAGGCCTTGACGGGGACAGGAGGCCTTGACGGGGACAGGAGGCCTTGACGGGGACAGGAGGCCTTGACGGGGACAGGAGGCCTTGACGGGGACAGGAGGCCTTGACGGGGACAGGAGGCCTTGACGGGGACAGGAGGCCTTGACGGGGACAGGAGGCCTTGACGGGGACAGGAGGCCTTGACGGGGACAGGAGGCCTTGACGGGGACAGGAGGCCTTGACGGGGACAGGAGGCCTTGACGGGGACAGGAGGCCTTGACGGGGACAGGAGGCCTTGACGGGGACAGGAGGCCTTGACGGGGACAGGAGGCCTTGACGGGGACAGGAGGCCTTGACGGGGACAGGAGGCCTTGACGGGGACAGGAGGCCTTGACGGGGACAGGAGGCCTTGACGGGGACAGGAGGCCTTGACGGGGACAGGAGGCCTTGACGGGGACAGGAGGCCTTGACGGGGACAGGAGGCCTTGACGGGGACAGGAGGCCTTGACGGGGACAGGAGGCCTTGACGGGGACAGGAGGCCTTGACGGGGACAGGAGGCCTTGACGGGGACAGGAGGCCTTGACGGGGACAGGAGGCCTTGACGGGGACAGGAGGCCTTGACGGGGACAGGAGGCCTTGACGGGGACAGGAGGCCTTGACGGGGACAGGAGGCCTTGACGGGGACAGGAGGCCTTGACGGGGACAGGAGGCCTTGACGGGGACAGGAGGCCTTGACGGGGACAGGAGGCCTTGACGGGGACAGGAGGCCTTGACGGGGACAGGAGGCCTTGACGGGGACAGGAGGCCTTGACGGGGACAGGAGGCCTTGACGGGGACAGGAGGCCTTGACGGGGACAGGAGGCCTTGACGGGGACAGGAGGCCTTGACGGGGACAGGAGGCCTTGACGGGGACAGGAGGCCTTGACGGGGACAGGAGGCCTTGACGGGGACAGGAGGCCTTGACGGGGACAGGAGGCCTTGACGGGGACAGGAGGCCTTGACGGGGACAGGAGGCCTTGACGGGGACAGGAGGCCTTGACGGGGACAGGAGGCCTTGACGGGGACAGGAGGCCTTGACGGGGACAGGAGGCCTTGACGGGGACAGGAGGCCTTGACGGGGACAGGAGGCCTTGACGGGGACAGGAGGCCTTGACGGGGACAGGAGGCCTTGACGGGGACAGGAGGCCTTGACGGGGACAGGAGGCCTTGACGGGGACAGGAGGCCTTGACGGGGACAGGAGGCCTTGACGGGGACAGGAGGCCTTGACGGGGACAGGAGGCCTTGACGGGGACAGGAGGCCTTGACGGGGACAGGAGGCCTTGACGGGGACAGGAGGCCTTGACGGGGACAGGAGGCCTTGACGGGGACAGGAGGCCTTGACGGGGACAGGAGGCCTTGACGGGGACAGGAGGCCTTGACGGGGACAGGAGGCCTTGACGGGGACAGGAGGCCTTGACGGGGACAGGAGGCCTTGACGGGGACAGGAGGCCTTGACGGGGACAGGAGGCCTTGACGGGGACAGGAGGCCTTGACGGGGACAGGAGGCCTTGACGGGGACAGGAGGCCTTGACGGGGACAGGAGGCCTTGACGGGGACAGGAGGCCTTGACGGGGACAGGAGGCCTTGACGGGGACAGGAGGCCTTGACGGGGACAGGAGGCCTTGACGGGGACAGGAGGCCTTGACGGGGACAGGAGGCCTTGACGGGGACAGGAGGCCTTGACGGGGACAGGAGGCCTTGACGGGGACAGGAGGCCTTGACGGGGACAGGAGGCCTTGACGGGGACAGGAGGCCTTGACGGGACGGAGGGATGCAGGGGAAGGAGACAAATGGTTGGTAATTCAGGTGGGAGATGGGCAGGCAGGCAAAACGTGAGGACAAAACGAGGATGTGGATGGAGGGTGGGCAGTGGTGCAGGAGAGAGTAATGTCGAAGTGGTATAGGCCGCAACCATGCACACATGTATCAGCCAATCAACACCGTCCAACATTCATCACTGTGCATGAACCATGCAATAGCACAGCATACCATGCAATAGCACAGCATACCATGCAATACCACAGCATACCATGCAATAGCACAGCATACCATGCAATAGCACAGCATACCATGCAATACCACAGCATACCATGCAATAGCACAGCATACCATGCAATACCACAGCATACCATGCAATAGCACAGCATACCATGCAATAGCACAGCATACCATGCAATAGCACAGCATACCATGCAATAGCATAGCAGACCATGCAATAGCTCAGCATACCATGCAATAGCACAGCATACCATGCAATAGCATAGCAGACCATGCAATAGCACAGCATACCATGCAACACCACAGCATACCATGCAATAGCATAGCAGACCATGCAATACCACAGCATACCATGCAATAGCATAGCAGACCATGCAATCGCATAGCATACCATGCAATACCACAGCATACCATGCAATAGCACAGCATACCATGCAATAGCACAGCATACCATGCAATAGCACAGCATAGCGAGCAATAGCACAGCATAGCATGCAATAGCACAGCATACCATGCAACACCACAGCATACCATGCAATAGCACAGCATACCATGCAACACCACAGCATACCATGCAATAGCACAGCATACCATGCAATCGCATAGCATACCATGCAATACCACAGCATACCATGCAATAGCACAGCATACCATGCAATAGCACAGCATACCATGCAATAGCACAGCATACCATGCAATAGCACAGCATACCATGCAATAGCATACCAGACCATGCAATAGCACAGCATACCATGCAACACCACAGCAGGCAATGCAATAGCACAGCATACCATGCAATAGCACAGCATACCATGCAATACCACAGCATACCATGCAATAGCACAGCATACCATGCAATAGCACAGCATACCATGCAACACCACAGCATAGCGTACCATGCAATAGCACAGCATACCATGCAATAGCACAGCATACCATGCAATAGCACAGCATACCATGCAATAGCACAGCATACCATGCAATAGCACAGCATACCATGCAATAGCACAGCATACCATGCAATAGCACAGCATACCATGCAACACCACAGCATAGCATACCATGCAATAGCACAGCATACCATGCAATAGCACAGCATACCATGCAATAGCTCAGCATACCATGGAATAGCACAGCATGTCATGCATATGCCACGCTCATTAATTTTCTTAACTTATAACCAACTCCTGTTTTAGAGCAATAAATTCCACTTAAATTACAAGTCAATATAGTTTTAGTATAACCATAGGTTTCTATGTCAACTGTATCGTCAAATTCAGTTACATATTTATGATTTAGGTAACACCACATTCTTTTGTATCCTGCACCCACATCTAAAAACATTACAATCTGTGTGAACTTGGTTCAATAACTCTAAATCAATAGCAAAGCATACCATGCAGCACCACAGCATACCATGCAGCACCACAGCATACCATGCAGCACCACAGCATACCATGCAGCACCACAACATACCATGCAGCACCACAGCATACCATGCAGTAGGCAGCCACTTGGTTGCAGGTGTGAAACTCGCGAATCTTCCCCGGCCCACAAGCACGCTTCTGAGATCGGGAAAGGGCACAGGAGGAGATGGCGGCATTGGTGACACACTTGAAATGGCGTCCCAGGCAATTTGCACTCAGCAGGTGGTGGGGTGAGTGGACTGGAAAGTGGCTTGCGAGGGGCGTGTTAGAGTTAGCCCTCAATTTCAACCGTATTATTCGTAGTTCTTTATCCTAGCGTAGTGTAATCTGCACTTTGTGTTGGTTGGGTGTACACCCACAGTCCAACCAAACCCAAATGCGATCACCAAGCAACCTCCAACCCACTAATTGGAGATTACCTCGGGATTGCCCCCAATCCCCTCCCCATCCATTCCTTGCTCACTTTGAATGTTCATAAAGAGCTTCAAGCTCGTTAGCAATGTATCAGTTCAAGCTCAATTCTGACAGCGCATGGGGAAAAAAGAATGACCGCGGCAGTAGCGGGTAGGGCATGGCGTTGTGTGGAATGGCGTGGCGTGGCATGGCACGGGCAGCGCATGGCATGGCATGGGCAGCGCACCATGTATCCGAGGTCAGCCGGGGAGAAGTAGACGATGGAGTGGCATGGCAGCTTGTCCCTGCCCGCCCTCGCACTCTCCTGGTGGCGGGTGGATAACAAACGCGGGATGGAACGAGGGGAGATGCAGTCATACGATTGAAAACGATGACATGGATGTATGACATGGACCGTGGGACTAGAGCTGAAGCGCTGTTGAGGGAGGGTGAGTGAGGGTAGGTAAGGGTAGGTGGTGAGGGGAGGTGAGGGGAAGGAGAGCGGAGGTGAGGGGAGGTGAGGGGAGGCGAGGGGAGGTAAGAGTTGAAGAGAGGAGCAGGAAACGCTGGTCGTGTGGCAGGAGCACAATGCCGGACGTGTGCGCACGGACTGATGCATGTGGCATGGCATGTCCAGTGGAACATGCTGGACGCATCCATGCATGCACGTGGGCCGTGCTGACCTGGTAGAGGCTCTCCATGGACTTGGGCATGCTGTAGTGGATCACAAACCGCACTGTGACCCGCGCACGGGAGGGGGAGAGGAGTGGTGGGAAAACGAGGGGCTAGGTGCTGCGCATGGATGTACGCACACATGCATACGCGCTGCTGACCTGGTAGAGGCTCTCCATGGACTTGGGCATGCTGTAGTGGATCACAAACCGCACTGCCATTCATGCACGCCGGGGCATGGTGACGGGGTAGCAGCAATCGGGGAACAGAGGGGAGGGGAGGAGGGGGGTGGGGGGAACGAGAGGGGAGAGGAGGGTAGGGAAGGGGAGGAGAGGGGAGGGGAGGGGAGGGGAGGTGAAGGGGGTAGATGAGCGAGTTTTGGGGACAGAGAGGAAATGTGTGGAACAATGGTGAGGAGAGAAAGATCACAATCATGGAGTGAGCGATGTGTTGGGACATAATGGTATGCACAGGGAGTGGTGCACAGGGAGTGGTGCACAGGGAGTGGTGCACAGGGAGTGGTGCACAGGGAGTGGTGCAGAGAGAGTGGTTGGCGCTGTGAACGGGTCAACGCAGGACCGCCCGCCGACAGTGGCATGCTTCAACAAGCTAACGTGGACCGACTGACAACAGTGCACTGGCACACAATGTGCTAGAAAGCCGCTGCACAAGAGAGGAGGAAATCTACGAGGGGGATAGGGAAATGGCGGATAGGCAAGCAGGCACTGACCATCAGACTGGTGGATGGCTGTTTTTGAGTCGACTCAAAAACAGACTCTAAAACAGACTCAAACAGACTCAAAAGCAGACTCAAAAACGAACAGGCACTGACCATCAGACTGGTGGATGCCTGTTTTTGAGTCGACTCTAAAACAGACTCAAACAGACTCAAACAGACTCAAAAGCAGACTCAAAAACGAACAGGCACTGACCATCAGACTGGTGGATGCCTGTTTTTGAGTCGACTCAAAAACAGACTCTAAAACAGACTCAAACAGACTCAAACAGACTCAAAAGCAGACTCAAAAACGAACAGGCACTGACCATCGGACTGGTGGATGCCGGCTCCAAAAGCGTTCTGAGAGGGGATGCGCAGCGACATGGGATGACACAGGGCGGGGGGATGGGCGCAGGGAAGAAGAGGACGGTGGGAGAGGGACAAGAGGGAAAAGGGGGGAGTGGAAGAGGGAGACGGGTGGAGAGAGAAGAGGGGAATCGGGGGAGACGGAAAGAGGGGGACGTGGGGAGAGGGGTAGACGGGGGAGGAAGGAATGGGGAATGAAACAAATCGAGCAGCAAGCACAGAAGAATTCAAGCACCACTGAAAAAGTAACAAGAACAGCAAAGACAAAAAGGGAGAGGGGGGGGGGAGAGGGGGAGGGGCGGGTTAAGAAGGTGGGAGGGTGGGCCAGAGGAAGGAGGTGGTGGATAAGGGCGGAAGCGAAGACTTTTGAATCGACTCAAAAGGTGGAGGAAGGGAGTGCTGGATGTAAGGGGGAAAGAGAAGGGACATAGAGTAGGGTGGAGCGAAGAGAGTACCGTTGCTGCGAGGACTTGAATTTCCTTCTTTCGCCACCTGTCAGGGGATTTATTACACCACCACACCCCCTCCCTCTCCCCCCCAATACCCCCCCACAGTCACGCACACACATGCACTTACACATACCCACACCCTCCCTTCCCCCAACAAACCCACACACTCACTCACACACATCCTCGCCTCGCCACAAACACAAACATGCACGGCCATGTGCAGATTAGCAATGTCAGAGGTATAGCAAAGAAGCCCAATAAAGTACAGCATCACAACTCACACATGCACTTCTGGTGCAGCTCGCCTACTTCCCCCGCACAGCCCCCCCCCCCCCCCCCCCCCCCCCTCTTCCCTCCCCTCTCCCTCCCCTCTCCCTCCCCCGATAACCCTTCTAATCAACCACCCTTTTGCCACCTTCTCTCTGCCCACACACCCACCATCCCACCCACGCACGCCCACGCATGTCCCTTTCCCTCAGGCGCAACAGCACAGCCTGGCCGTGCCGTGCAGGCACCAAGCACCCCACCTGTCCTGGTGCTCGTCCCTGTCAGCCACGCCCAGCTTGGCACTGTACGCCAGTGCTGACACCCCTGCCTGCCGCAGCTGCCTTGCCACCTGTCGTCACCACACCCACACCCACGCACACGCACATATGCACGCACACACACGCATGCACGCACACACACGCATGCACGCACACACACGCATGCACGCACACTCACGCATGCACGCACACTCACGCATGCACGCACACTCACGCATGCACGCACACGCACGCAGGCACGCACACGCACGCATGCACACACATGCAAACACACGCACACACACCCACGCACACACATCCACGCACGCACGCACGCACACACCCACACGCACTCATGCACACACACACCAGAAGGTGAACTTTGAGTGGGAAACAGTGTTTTCTCCTGGGGGTCATGCTCATCCGTGCCCCATCACTGCCCCATCACTGCCCCAAACACTATCACATGAATTGCGTGCTTGACTGACCTCCTCGGTGTCCTCACGGCGCCAGCAGTACACGAGGCCCGTGTGCCCAGGGTACGTGCTCTGGATGAACGCCACCATGTCCGCCACCACACTCTTGCGCTTCACCCGCACCTAGTGGGGGGGAGGGGGGGAGGAGAGAAAGGGGGGGGGGGAAGGGGGTGGAGATGTGGAGGTAAACAAAAAAAGAGAATGTGCGGGGAGGAGGGGAAAGAAAGGATAGTTACAAAAGTCAGCCATCAAGATACCATGTGCACGCAAGCAGCCGTTATCAGGCCATGCATAAGCAATGACATGCAGTGCAAGAAGAGGCGCTACCTCGTAGTGCATGTGGGGCAGGCGGATGGAGGAGACGAAGGTCTGTGTGTTGCTCATCTGCAGTCCCAGCCTCGCCCTCAGCTCCTGCTGCGCTGCCTCGTTCGCTGTCGCCTGGCGTCAACGGTGGGCACGGGAGTTGGGAGACAGGTGGGGAGTGGGGTGGGCAGAAAGGTGGGGATAGGGGTGGGGAGGTGGGTGCGGGGGTAAGAGGTGGAAGGACAAATCAAAAGCAAGGAGCAGAGGTACAAGCAGACGGAGTGCATTTGCAAGAGCAAGCAACGGACCAAGCCCAAGGTATGCTAAGAGAGAAAGGAGATGTTAGCCGTGAAGAAGCTAAACCAGGCGTCAGGCAGTGCACGGCAACAAGCGGCACATGCAGAGTGGGAGCAGTGAGCACGAATTGCGGAGCCAGGCTGTGACAGCGATTCCAAATGGGAGGGGACAGTCAAGAATTGCATGCAAGGGACTGTGTGAAATGGATGTGACACATTGGTAAACAGGCGAGAATAGAGGGGAGAGTGTGAAACGGATGCATGCCGGGGGAATGGGATCTAGACGGGAAAGGATAAAGCAGTGCACAGGGAGAGATATGGAGATGTGAAAGGGGAAAACAACACACAAGGAGAGGCATGCAAAAAGAGAGAGGCGTGGAGGAGCGGAGGAGGCATGGCGCCGGGGAGGGGGGGTAGGTGGTTACAGTGATGGCGAAGACAGGCACGCCCGGGAAGCAGCCGCGCAGGTGCTCGCCCACTATCTTGAGGAACGGGCGGAAGGGGTCGCTGCCGTTGCAGTGATGCGCCTCCTGGGGAGGTGAAAAGCGTAGGGGGGAGAGGGGGGGAGAAGGAGAGGGAGGGCGAGGGGGAAGGAAGGAGAGGGGGGGAGAGGGAGAGGGGGGGGGGGGGGGGGGAAGGAGAGGTTTTCAAGTGGAATTTTGAAAACCTACCTTGTGCCTCTGCAAACACTCCCTCCATACCATAGTACAATGCACCACAGTGCACCACAGTGCACCACAATGCACCACATGCACCACAATGCACCACATGCACCACAATGCACCACATGCACCACATGCAGCTCGTGACAGCAGTCACCATCAAGCCCATCCATGGCCAGACTCTCACTGCTCACGAGCCACACCCTCCATCCCCCCGCGCCCCCATGGCAGCAGCACAGCACCACATGAGGCAGGTAGTACAGGCACAGCACAGCACTCACATCGACGACGATGAGGCGCAGTGCGCGGCGCTGGAAGCACAGCTGCAGCGCCGCAGTAAGCTCACGGCACTTCTCCAGCGCCTCTGGTGTCACGTACACACACAGGTGCTCCCGCCCCGGCCCGCCCCACCCCACTCCCACTCCCACTCCCCTCCCGCACCCGCACCAACACCCACACCCGCACCCGCACCCGGCATCACCACCCCCCCTGCCGCTGCTGCTCCCCCGCCCCCAATCACATGCGCTGCGGCGTTGTTAGTGCAGGTGTTGGGGTTGTTGGGAGCGGAGAGGGAGTGGCGAGGCAGGGAGAGCGGGGCGTTGGCGTCGCCTCGGAGGGCGGCGAAGACGGCTTGGCGGTGGCGGCGGTCCTCCAAGGACGGGTGGCCCAGCACCATGCCCACACAGATCGGCAGCTGCCGCAGCGCCTGCACCTGCACGTTTGGGGTAGCAGACGGGTTGGTGGTGGGTGCGTGGTTGGGGCCCGCACCGGGGGAGTAGGGGGGGAAGGGAGAGTGAGTGCTGTGTTGTGGCGTGGGCTGTGTGGCGTTGCACGTGGGTGGTGTGGTGCCATGGTTGGTGCTCGCAGGTTAGAGCTTGCCTCCATGGATGGACGGGTGGCCCAGCACCATGCCCACGCGGATGGGCAGCTGCCGCAGCGCCTGCACCCGCACGTTTGGTTGGGAGGTTGGGGCCCGTACCGTAGAGGGAGGGGCGGATGGGATGGGAGAGTGAGTGGTGTGTTTGTAGTGCGGAGTGTGCGGCGTTGCAGCAACCGTTTCCCCTCCCCCATTCCCAAACCCCTCCCCTTTGTCCTACTCTGTATGTTCTCTCCACCCACCTTCACCCAACAACCTTACCCCTCCCCCCCTCCCTCCTCTCTCCCTCCCCCCCCCCCTCCCCTCCCCTCCCCTCCCCTCCCCTCCCCTAACCCTTCCCCCCTCCCCTCCCCTCCACTTCCCTCCTCCTTCCCCCCTCCCCTCCCCTCCCCTCCCCTCCCCTCCCCTCCCCTCCCCTCCCCTCCCCTCTCCCTCTCCCTCCCCCTCTCCCCCCCCCCCCTCCCCCCCCCCTCCCCTCCCCCTCCCCCTCTCCTCCCCTCCCCTCCCCCTCCCCCTCTCCCCTCCCCTCCCTCTCCCCTTCTTCCCACCCCTCCCCTCCCCCTCCCCTGTTCTCTGCCTCCCCCGCGCAGAGCACCTGGTTGCGGATGAGAGCGCGGAAGGGGCAGACGACGAGGGTGACGCCGCCCAGCAGCACGGCGGCGAGCTGGAAGCACAGGCTCTTGCCACTCCCCGCTGGCAGCACCGCCAGCACGTTGCTGGGCGGCCGCGCTAGTAGCGCTCGGATGATCTATGGGCGCGCGGGGGGAGGGGGAGGCGTGGGGGAGGAGTTGGGGGAAGGGGGAGGTGGGGAAGGGGGAAAGTGGCGGTGAGTGCGGAGAGAGGGACGATTGGAGAAAAGGGGAGAAGGGAGTAGGCGAGAGAAGGGAGGGGTTGGGGACGGGAGGTGAGTGAGGGGGGTGAATAATTGTAGCAGGTGAAACTTGGAAGGAGGCAATAAGGGGGGTTGGAAGAGAGGCTGAACAAGAGGCAGACAAGGAAGCGGGTAGAAGAGAAGTTTGTACTAGGGGAAAAGCAAGAAAGCGTGATGGCAAAAAAGGGCAAAAAACAAACAAGCGAATGTGATGAATGAATGGCATAAACCGGAACCATGTTTCTGTTCCGCAGTTGGAAAAGATTGCAGGCGGAACCAAGAAATGAATCTACTATACAAAAGCCACAGTGCTCAATAATTACAAAAAGCCACATCAGATCTACGTGTGTGCGACTGAGAAGCTTACAGTCCCAGAAGAAGCACGTGTAGACTACCCAGATTTCTTTTCCTAACTTGAGGCTCGAGTTCACGCCCTTAGGGTTCAAACTGACCGACATGAACCTCGTACCTCGAGTTGGTGCGGGTTGAATGGCCCCTGGATGCCAAACACTTGCTCCTTCACCGCATGGATCTCCGCGTCCCTGCCGTGCCTGCCACTGCCACGCACACCATGCACGCCGTCCACACCACCCACACCAACCACACCACCCACACCATGCACACCACCCAAACCGCCTCCGCCCACCGCACCAGCGGCAGAGGTGCAAAACACTCTATTCCCCACAAGACCTTGTGTCATTGGTGTACTATACATGCCATCCGCGCCTTGCATGCCCCATAGATGGGTCTCACTGTGCCCCTTCCACCAAACTGCTCTGCCTGCCGCTGGTGCTGAAAATGATGTTGCTGTTGCTGCTTATATTGATGTGGCTGCTGCTGGTGATGATACTGAAATGGCTGCCGCTGCTGATACTGATGTGGCTGCTGCTGCTGCATATTATGTGGGGGAACATAGTGGTGCTGGTTCCATGAATAGGCTGACTGGTGTGCTGCATGCGCATGCGGCTGCTGCACCTGCATGTGCTGCTGCGGTAGGCCCTGCTGAGGCATGGGCTGTGTTTGCTGCTGCTGTCGAAGCATCTCCTGCATAGGCTGCTGCTGTTGCTGCTGGTGTTCCTGCTGCTGCCGCTGCTGCTCTTGCTGCTGCTGCTGCTGCTGCTCCTGCGGCACCTGCTCCTCTTTCTCCTGCTGGCGTTGCTGCTGCAGGTCCTGTTGTGGTGGCAGCTGCTCTTGATTCTGTTGCTGTTGCTGCGTTGCAATACACTCCTGCTGCTGCTGCTGCTGCTGCTGGTATTGCTGCTGTTGCTGTTGCTCCTGCGGGAGCTGCTGGTTCTGCTCTAACTGATTCTGCTGCTCATAGCGCTGCTGCTCCTGTTGCTGCAGCACCTTCTCTTGAAGCTGTAGCTGCTGCTCCTGGTGTTGCTTTTGCTGCTCACTAGCATGCCGTTGCTGTTCTTTCTTCTGCTGCTCTGCAGCTTGCAGCTGCTGCTGCAAGTGGTAAGGACGGAGAGGAGGGGACATTGAACGAGGAGGAGGCAGCGAATGAGGGGGGAAACGAGCCGGGGAGGCGTCTGGGAGAGGCAATGGAAGAGAGGAAGGAGTCTCAATGTCAGTGCAAGGAAGAGCAAGGACAACCAGTTGTGGCTGCGGCTGCTGCTGCTGCTGGTGGTGTGGTTGTTGCTGGTGCTGCTCCTGTTGACTTTCAATTTTTTGCTGCTGCTGGCCCTGCTGCTCCTGCTGCTGCCCCTGCAAGTGCCGCTGCTCTTGCTGCTGCTGCTGCTGCTGCTGCTGCTGCTGCTGCTGCTGCTGCTGCTGCTGCTGCTGCTGCTGCTGCTGCTGCTGCTGCTGCTGCTGCTGCTGCTGCTGCTGCTGCTGCTGCTGCTGCTGCTGCTGCTGCTGCTGCTGCTGCTGCTGCTGCTGCTGCTGCTGCTCTGCTGCGGATGCTTCTGCTGCCGCTCTTGCTGCTGCTGGTTCTGCTGCCGTTCTTCCGACAGCAGCACCGGCGGGGCAACAGGGGAAAACGGCTGCATGTGTGAGAGGGACTGGATCGGCGGAGACTGCTCGCTGTCCCGCCCCTCTTCCTCCTGCTGCTCGCTCTCGCTCTGCCTGTACCGCTGCTGCGCCCTTGGCCGGGGGCATAACTGGGGTGTGGACACTGACGGGGAAAAGCACGCTGACTCCTGCTCGCCTTGCTTCCCCCCACGCTCATTCTGCTGCGACCCCAGCTCCTGTTGCTTGGGCGACTGCTGTTGCGCTGACTCGTGCTGCTGCTGCTGCTGCTGCTGCTGCTTCTGCTGCTGCAGAGGCAGAGCCTTCTCATCCGACCCAGCCGCTTGCCCCTGCTTCTGCTGCTGCTGCCGCTGCTGCTGCTGCTGTTCCCGCCATGCGTGCACGGGTCTCAGCGACTGCTCCGCGTCGCCCTGGCCGTCGCCTGCCACGGAGGGGACGCTCACTGAGTGCTGCTGCTCCGCCTGCAGGCGCTGCTGCTCGGCGCGCAGTTGCTCTGCATCACACGTGTGGGGGGGAAGAGGGAGGGGGAGAAGGCGGGGTTGCGGGGGAACGCGGGGAAGAGAGGAGAGCGGGGTAGGCAAGGGGAGAGGGGGTCGCCGGGATGGGGATTTAGGGCAGGTCGCGCCGAGTACGCCGCTAATCGAATTGTTATGCTATAACGAGAGCCTCGCTACTCTCGCTCACCTCAACTCCCCCGTCGATTTCATCTAACCGTATTCGTCCCTCGCATTCTCTCACCCTCATCCCCTCGCTCTTCGCCCTCCCGAATCCCGATTTTCGTCTCTCCTATCCTTTTCTTTCTCCTTCTTCCTCACCCCGCGTCCTCCCTCGCGCTCTCCCGCGAGAAAGCTGCCTAGAAATTGCCATCGCGCTTACCCTCCAGTGCGAGCTTCTTCTGCAGTAGCTGCTGATAGAAAGCGCTTCGCTCCATCGCGCCACGGTCGCTAACCACACCACGAGCTGCGGCTGCCGCAAAGTCGCCGCGCGCTCGCTGATCCGCGCTTCTTCGCAGACTCGCCTTCGGAGTTACCTAAATTTCGCTGGGGGAAGCTGAAACATTGCTGGGAAGTATCGGATAAGTTACGTAAACGATACCCCGAAGTCACTCTCGTGATGATCCCGAACTTCACACCAAGAGCCCTGCAGGTTACCTCCGATGGTTTGCGAAAGAAGCGAAGTGGTAGTGCACCTTCGTGGCATTTCGAGAAAACGGAGCTGTCCAATCAGGTTGGCACAATGTTCGTTGAAACCAAGAGGGTAGCTCCCAGCTTGGGAGGGAGGTTCGGCTTCAGTTTGTGTATCTCTCAACTGGTTGGGGTTCGGGCCATATCCCCTACCAGGATCCGGCTTATGGCATATCCAGTACTATTATTGTAGAAAGCATGTTAACTGTACACTTAGAGCAAGTATAGTTTTGTCAGCAAGCATACATATGGAAATCAGGTATACATTATAGATGAATATACACATGTATCAAGGTTTTTACCGAAAACGAGTCCTCAAGGACGCAGGATGGTTTCCAAGACACTCAAAACCTCGGCATCGAAGACTCATTACGAGGGAAGGGAGCACACGGCGACAACGACCCACGCAAATGGAAGAAGATCACAAATCCACCAAGGAACACTGAATGCTCAGTCTCGTCTCTCAGTCAGCTATCACCAAGCTTCAAGATCTTCATGTCAGAATCTTAGGCAAGAATGTCCATTAGGTCGAGGTTTGGGGTACATGAAAGAGAGTGTCGAGAGAAATGTCTGTACCCCCTAGAGCTATCCCCAATACAACCTAGATAATAATATATGTATATATTTGACACACCCCCATAGGTGAAATGGGGGATAGCCAGAGCAAGCAACGGTCACAAGACCAGTCAAGAGACAAAACACAGCTCAGGGTGGATCACAACGTCACCACTCAAACTGAGCACAAGCAAACGGCCACAGGGCCAGTATACATGCAGAGGTATATAAGCAACAAGAACAGTACAGTGATCTCAAGCTAGCAAGAGCAAGCATGCAGGTATATATATATAGATCACAGTACAAGGAGAGACTACAGCAAGTGTGGAAACGTCGGCACAAGGCCCAACAAAGTACAAAAGCGCTGATGATCACCAGACGGAAGTGCCTTGGTGAATATATCAGCAGTGTTGGCCCGAGTGTCCACGTGACGGAGACGAAGCTGGCCTCGCTGCTGCAACTCTCGAGCCAGGAAGTAACGCAGAGCGATGTGCTTCGTTCTGTGCTCCAGTCTGTGCTCCTCACACAAGGCAATGGCAGCCTTGTTGTCGACGTACAGCACTGGAGGAGAACGAGGCCGCTCGCCCAAGTCGGTCAGCAAGTATGTGAGCCAGCGCAACTCCTGTGCAGCCATGGCTGTGGCGTAGATCTCAGCCTCACAACTAGAGCTGAGAACCGAAGACGAGCGAGTAGAACGCCAAGAAACAGAGCCAGAGCCAAGGCTGAAAGTGTAACCCTGTGACGACCGCTGCGTAGCCTGGTCGTCGACCCAAGAAGCGTCTGAGTGCCCAGTGAGCACAACTCTGTCCCGTCCTCCAAGCACTAGCCCCATGCCCGATGTACTGCACAAGTAACGCAGTACCCTCTTCGCAGCATCCATGTGCACCTTTCGGTGCCGACCAGGAGCCACGTAGCGGGCCAGAAGGCCAAGAGGGTACGCGAGGTCAGGACGAGTGCAAGTCATCAGGTACATGAGGCAGCCAACTAGCTCTGGGTAAGGACCACTCGGCTCTACGGACTCGTCCGAAGGTGGAGCTGAGAGCGAGTGACCTGTCGCCAGAGGAGTGGCCTGTGCTGAGGACCAGGTGAAGCCGAAGCGCTGAAGGACCTGCTACACCATGTGTGACTGAGTCAGTGTGATGGTGCGGCGTGCTCTGTCCCGGGTGATCTGCAAGCCAAGGTAACTGCGTAGCTCACCCAGGTCTGTGCACGTATGTCTCTTCTGCAGCTCCGACTTCACGTGGGCAAGAGCCTCAGTGTCAGCAGTGGCAAAGACCAAGTCGTCGACGTACACGAGGATGTAGAACGGCGGCAGTGAGGTGTCGGTGCGCAGAAACAGCGACGGGTCAGCGGTCGACGGAGCAAACCCAAGAGCCGCAAGTGTCGTCCTCAGTGTGTCGTGCCACTCACGTGGCGCCTGGCGGAGACCGTAGACTGGCCGCTGGAGCCTCCACTGGGTACCAGGAGGGAACGACCCAGTGAAGCCAGGAGGGCGGCGCAGCCAGATCTCCTCGTGCAGGCTGCCCTGCAAGAAAGCTGTGCTGAAGTCCAGAGAGTGAAGCTCGTAGTCACGGTGAGCGGCAACGTGCAGCATGTTTTACCACCCCACCTCGCGCCGTGTTCTGTCCTCCCAGGACGTCACGTTTGACGAGGGCTTGCAGCTGTTCCTGCAGTGTAGAAGGGTAGGGCGGGCGCGGGGTAACGCGGTAACCGCAGATAATCTTAAAGGTGGGCCCAAATAGAACAGGTACTAAGGTCCTAAGGACCTCCTGCTCTATACCATGTTAGAATCTTAGGCAAGAATGTCGATTAGGTCAAGGTTTGGGGTACATGAAAGAGAGTGTCGAGAGAAATGTCTGTACCCCCTAGAGCTATCCCCAATACAACCTAGATAATAATATATGTATATATTTGACACTTCATCATCACACGATGGCTCCTCATGGGGAGGCCCTTTCTCCAGTTATAGTGGGTGTCGCTCGTACTCAAT